GTCGTGCATGCGATGGTTCCGTGCCGCCCGGAGCATCGGCGCCCCGTCGCCCTCTGCTTTGTCGACCAGGCTCCGGGCACGACCAAAATTTTGGGCCACCTTGTTGAGATCGAGACGCAAGCACGCGTGCCCAGGACAACAGGTAGGTGCGCTGAGATGCACAACGACTGAGAGCGACTGGCAAATGAATCCCGAAATTATACGTTGGTTCTGAGTATTTTATTCTAGAACCTTCGACAGAGAGTAAAATCGTCCTAGCGGACGTTGAGGAGATATATGTCATCTCCGTAGGCCGCTAAAACTTGACCTGCAACCCTTACCCAAACCCCGCGCCTCTCTTTGACCGCAGGGCCAAGGAGTGAAGGAAACTTGGGTTGGGCTAGATGATAAGCTCACACCGTGGAACATATCAACTATCCTAAAGACAAGTGCTCCGATCGATGGCTTTGGACAGAAGGATCGTTTAGCCGGCCGACGTACACGAACTGGGGGACAATGGTCGAATTTTTTTATGTATTTTGGCAATTCTGTAGCGAATGCCTCGAAGGTGTGTGTCCTTTCCCCTCGCGGAAAACGGCTACCCCTACTAATCAATCACAAAAGTACCCGAACACACCGGGAAACACCGCAACCTTCAGCTCGGCACGGCAAAACACCCACGCCTCATCACGCCGCGATCGCCGCGCCGTCTCATCCAAACCAAAACGCACCGCTACACACCCCGCCAATCAACATAGCTCACCTCGAGTTGGGCCTCCGATTCCCTCCGCGTCCTAAATGCGGCCGCCTCCGCTTCCACTACCCCGGCAACCCTGCTCGACAAACACGCCCTCGAGCCCGTCACCGACATCTCCTCCAAACGGGTTCGCGAGACCTCCCGCTGGGCCTCGGACGCGTGTCGCTGAACCACGGACGCGGACTCTGCGGCAATAGCCCGCATGATGGCTTCCGCTCGGGCACGGAGCCCCCGCAGCTTGTCCTTGGCCTGTTTCGGATAACGGGGGCGGGTGTCGGCGGAGGTGTCGGCGGAGGTTTAGTTTCTGTCTTGGGTCATGACTTCACCGGTCGACCCTCGACTTGTCGCCAAAAATGTGTTCCCCTAAGTAGTCTATAAAGTGACCAATCCTTTTCTTTGTATCTCATGCTCTTGGAGAGGGAAGAAGAGAGATTTGGGCCCGTTGGGTCGTCTGTATTTTTTGGGGGATGGGTATTTCTCGAGGAGCTGATACCACGAGAAGCGCTAGAGTTGCTATCGCATGCGGCGACCGCCACCAGACCCAGGTGGAAAGAAGTTGCACCGCAAGAAAGCACGCATTCGACGATTGAAGTTTTTTAATCTTGTTCCACCAGTAAGAAGAAGGGTGTCTGTATCGTTCCCTCGGTAACGGTGCTCCCCAGTGATGTTGACACGAATACTAGCGTTTTCGATGCGTGTACAGATTTACTTGGGAAGTTGGCTTGCGACCACGGAAGACGTCCGCGTTAGTCAGTTGGACCCGTACGGGTATTAGACGGTACCGAGTGGAGACCAGAACGATAGTAATGTGAAGACAACAACAGCAAGAAGAAGAAGAAGAAGAAAAAGAAGAACAACAACAACAGTAAACAACACACCTTGGCCACTTCCCGGTCCCCCTCCCTCAAGGCGAGCGCTCTCTCGATCTCGCAGCGTTGCTTCAGCCCCAAGATCTCGCCCTCCTGGCGAACCTTCTGCGACTCCGACCTCTTCACGGCCCGCTGTTCCTCGGCGATGGAGGCGTTCATTGTCCTCTGGGACATCTGGGTCGCGATATGGGACGGGAGTTCCACGGAGCGGATCATCACGGTTGTGATCTCTACCCCCTGCGGGGCGAACGTCCGGTTGAGACTGTGTCTGACTTCGTCGACGTGTCGACTCCCGAGAACCGCGTCGTCGTCACCGCTGTTGCTGTTGCTGCTGTCTAGCTCCTCCTTCGTGGCTTGCGCCACCTTTTCCCCCGCCGTTGAAGAGGCCCGCCGCCCTTCAGTACCACCACCTTGGCGGTGTTGTTCATTGGCGATGTCCACAGCAGCATCCCCCCCACCTTCGGGGTTGCTAATGGCCCTATCTCCGGGCTGATCACTACTGGTACCATCCGCATTTTGTCCGTCCATTTCGTCGTCCTCTCCGCCGCCGGGCGTCGTTTCACCTTTCGTGGCGGTGCTACAGGGCGTCGGGGAAAGGCACGGAAGCGGCGCAACATCAAGCTCGAGCGGGGGCAGGGTCGAAGCCGACGAGACCGCGGACTGGCTCGAAGTCAGGTCCAAGTTGGTCGCGGCCGGTGGCGGGCGTGACGGGATCCGCCCCTTAACTCCTTCGTCTTCGACTTTTCGAGGTCCGCCGCCGCCGCCACAACCTTTGCGACCGAGGCCTTCGAGAGGGTCTTGGCCTCCATCCCCACAGGCCGCGGACAACAATGCTTCCAACGGATGGACGCGTCTGCAATCGTCGAGCACCAACGAGAACGGTGCCCCGAGGCCTTTCTCGTCTTGACCTTGAGTCGGTCCGTCCGAGGATGTTGCTGCGACAGCGTCGGGCAAGGGGAAGATCCGGCTCGCGCGCAAACCGCGCTGGATTGCCGGCAGCGGCGAGGGCATCGGCGGCGAATGCTCTCCATACACACGCTCGACCGCCGTGCTCGTGTCGGAGCTGACCGCGGCGGCGGTGGTGCTTTCGGCGGCGGTTGCCGCCGCGGCAGGTGTAGTGGAAGCGGTGGCCATCGCTGGCTCCGCGAGGTATCCCACATCCGAACAAGGATCCGGAGCGACTTTCACCCGCTTCATGATCGAGCCCTGTCGTGTCCGCTCCAGTGCTACCAAGGTTGCTGCAGCTCCCCCGTTCTGTTCCGAGTGTTCCTCGGCGGTACACGCCGGAGTGTTGGCGGTAGACGACGTCGGGGGAGATCGGGGATGGTCGCGGCTGGCATCGGGTCCTGATATCAGAGCGTACACGGCCTTGTGCGTCGTAGATCTTGCCATGACGCGGATGGCTTCTGCCTGTCAAACGAGAGAACACAGGTACCGTCGTTGTCGTTGTCGTTGGGAATATGATCCATCGAAAGCCTCAACGTAGAGCTCATAGCTGTTACGATACATGTTCACAAAATGCTCTCCTTACGCCCGTACAGTATACTACAACGAGACCATATCAATCTCTTATGTTGATCAAAGCCCGCGTCTTACAGCAGAGTTCGGGTCACAGGTCAGATTTTCAAGTAACGCTTGAGCAATAATTATTCAACGAACAGACGGTTGACCATGCGTCGCACTAGGGATGACGGTGTGTAACGGGCAGAAAAACATGGGGATCAACCTCTCACCACCGCGTTGACGAGCTGGGCTTCAAAGCCTCGAACGCCGACCTCGTGAACGAACTTTCTAACGAGGTAGGGGTCCTCGCCTTTCTCTTCATCCCCCATCACCCTCAGTACCAGAGTTGCCCGGACTAGAATCGGGATGTTGTCGCGCGTGATGCAACGCTTGACGTTGCAGTGATACACGATGCTCTGCTTGGTGATCAGGTATGTCACCTGTCAGTATATCCACCGCCCGAGTGGGATGTTTCGACGATGGGCACACACGTTTCGTCACAACGGCTACAGTGAACATCGCCGTTGATGCTTCATTCTTCGTTCATGTGGGTTCGGGTCTTTTCTGCTCTTCTCCAACGTGGCAAAATGTCAAGTGGTGTACCGTAGTCCCGAGTGAAGAGAATATACCACCGAGTGTCTCTTGTCCCCACAACTACCGTGGGTTGCATAAGATAACACGCCCCCTGGACCGATATTTTAAGCGCGATTACTCCACGACGAAGAGGATGCCGAAATCGAAGTATGCTACGTTCTTGTGGGAAAGCTCTCGACGAGACGGTTCCAACGCCGCCATTTCCGGCACCGTCACTGATTCTCCTGCCGAGATATCGAGCTCCGAAAATTGGGCCAGGGGGTGCGATGTATTACGCAACCTACGGCGGAAGTTGACTGTGCACGTGACCTTTCACAACAGATGTGTCATTATCAGCGTGCATGTAAGTATCTCTTTCAAGAATACCTGTCAGCACCACCGGTCCGGTGACACAACGACCAAGCGTTGTGGACTCTACACGTATGTATGTTGCTGGAGACTTAACTGTTTTCAGTTTTCGCTCACCCGCTTGAGAGCGCCGAAGTGAAGCCCCGGGGGCCACACGGGACTGCCACTTTCTCGGTAGTCGGCAAATTTCCCGCCACGCTGGACGAGCGCGTAGTAGCCTTGGGGCACGGAGAAAAACGGCACCAGCTTTGAAAATGCGGACGGTCGAAGGTGGCAAAGGACGAGCCCTTTTTGCTCCTCGAAGGCGTCGACGGCATTGGCGACGCTCTGGAGTGTACAAGAGGATAGGTCGGTCACCTGGCCGCTATTCATTTGAGCAGGAGACACCAACGAACATGTTCGTAGATCCAGCGGGAGATTCGCCAGGGGTGGCTCAGATGCGAGTCGACCTCAGAAGGCACCGAAGGTCACGTAGTTGTCAGACACGCATTCCTTGGCTCTGCTTTTATTCTTCTTCTTTTCCAACACGAGGCGCAAAAACGTCGAGCACTATCGCAGCCACTCGTACTGGTCAGCAGCATCTACAAACAATGTTGCATGTGCCTCTCACCGAAGTTGATTGCTTTAACTGACGGGTTCGGACAAGTTGCAAAGGATTGGATCTTTTGCGTCTCGGATCCGTTTTTTGCGATGGCAACGTAATGACCGTTTCATGATCTTGAGACTAAAAACGCGGGTTTCAAATTTGTATAACTCCCACGTCTTTCGCCCTTTACTCACATTACTCACGGAGCCTCCCTGCTGCTGTTTTGCTGTCGGTTTTGCTCAGTGCGTGTGTTTCGAGGCCAGCGCATCGCATTAGCACTCCTGTTGCACACACGACCAGTGCCGAGCTCAGTGCACATCGCACACTTACAATACGTCCACGTCGACCGAATTCGAACGGCCAAGAAAGTGGTATTTGCATCAGGCTGGAAGGGTCGGTGTTCGGCGCTGCTAAACAGCTTTAGCGTACCTTTTTTGAGGCACACGCGGGCCCTCTGTTTTTGTTTAGACTGTACACAAGTACATCGCACGGCGTAGCCAACAATCCTCGATGAACCAGCTGCAGGATCTGGGGGCAGATGCTTTGTGCAACATCGTGGTCTTCGCGACGGGAGCGGAGATCGTGGCACTTCTCCAAGCGGCGAGGTGAACAACAACACGCGTTTTTTTAAATTCGAACTGGATACCAAAAAGGCGCCAACCCGTGGACGGCACATGATCCTATCGGGCACATGCCTTTCTGCAGCAGTCGGGTGCCAGTATCGAATGGGAGAGTAGTCTAGAGCGTGTGATGGCGTCTCCTGAGCGACGCACCTAGCATTGGACTAATTGCCGCGTCTCCCGTGTTTGCTCTCTTCAATTGTAATCTTGTTATCCATCTGTTTTCCACCTGTATGGGCCGTTCCGTGTGTGACGCAAGATACACCCCCCAATAAGGCAAGGAAGGCACCGCCACGCAACACCAACACCCCTGGGCGATTGATTTTCATAGCTCGATTTCTCCACAGCAGAAAGGGTGGCGATGCCAATCTTGGTGGCGTGGGAAAACCGTCTAGTCGAGTTCACTTTCCGAAAAGTCTAGACATTCAACCTCTTTGTCGTGGAGTAGTGGAGTATTGTAGTGGAGCTTTGAAAATCGACCCAGGGTGTGCGATACCTTACACCTATGGTCACGTACCTGGCGGCAATATTTTTACAGGCCAGCGACCAGAACATGGTACTTGTACAACTTAAAACCCCGACAACCCCCTGGAAATTTCCCGCGGATATGTGCCGCGAAGGTGCATTCGGGCAACCCTGGCGGGACCTTTGGCGCGGAAGCACTTCCAAGCCATGAGCGTTGCGCGGTGGGGGGAGGGCTGCCGTTGCCAGTACGCCGTCGCCGATGCCGGGACGAAGCTCCCCCGCGCCGCCGTAGACGAGTCCGACTACGACCACCACCACGGCGGTACCGATGTTGGCGCCCGCAGCAGCAGCAACGCCACCGATAACGGGGATATTGACAGCAGCGACAACGGGGACGGTGATGACAGCATCGGGAACAAGCCTCCCGCCACAGGCAACAACAACAACAACTCCCCGAACGAAGAAGGAAGACGCGATAGGGGCGGTGGCGGCGGCGCTGATTGGCTAGCGTTTTACTTGAGGCGCGTGGGCCACCGCGCAGCTCGGCCTTCTCCGCTCAATCTCCTCCAGGTATCACACGTGGCCCGCCCACCGATTAGGCGTTTTCGTGAGAGTTTGGGCATAGCGAGCGCGCAGCGCGAATACCGTTGAAGCCGAAACCATTAGCATAGTCAGCGCTGACAACATAGTCCACTGGTTTGATTTTGTCTTGTATAGAAGTGAGTCGTGGGCTCGTCTTTTTAGTTTTCCGCGTGCGACCCGACGCAAAAAAACAACTCCTACTAAGGCTGACTACTTTTTGTTGGCCACGGTTGCTGCGCACATTCGATCCTCATATCAGGAGCATTACACGGAGGACGCCTACCGCCTCTTGTCGTGCTGCATCCTTTGCTCCCGCACCAGTGGGGGGGACACCGTGAAGGACGCGGTCAAGGCATTTTTTGAGGCTTGTCCCACACCCACCAGCGTTCTGGCCGCTGACCTGGGGGAGCTCCGCAAGACGTTGCTGCCGCTCGGACTCAACAGGTAACGCCGCCACTCCCTCGCCTCTGCTTGTTTGTGTTTCTCCGTCTTTGTGTCTGTCTGTCTGCCTGTCTGTCTCTCTATCTATCTGTCTGCCTGCCTGCCTGTCTATCTGTCTGTCTGTCTCTTTCTCTCTCTCCCCCTCAGCGTCATCTCCTCCACCCCCCCTCGCTCGTTGCTTCCCTCATTCTAGCCCTCTTTTTCGTCCCGTGTTCGGCTAGTTTTCTGTTTCGTTGTCTCCGCCGTCTCAAAATTCTTGTGTTATGACGTAACAACATGCTTCCCATCATTTTCATCCACGGTGCCCCCCCTCCCCCCCCACCCCCAAACCGCCCTCGGCAGGGAGTTGATAATAAAGCGCTTCGCCGAAGGCTTTCTCGCGTCGGCCTGGCACGACCCTTCCGAGCTCCACGGGTGCGGCCGCTTCGCCTCCGACTCTTGGCAGATTTTTTGTCTCGGTAACCACCGACCGGGGAACCAGGTAATCGATGCCGCCGCCACCGCCGCCGCCGCTCTCTCCGGTCGAGAAGCCGCACAGGCGCCCTGCGGCAACGACGGAGGCGCCAGCAAGAAGAAGAAAAACGTCCGCAGCGGCGGCGGCGGCGGCGGCAGGCGCGGTCCGCTTGATCGTAATCTCGCCGCTTATTGCCGTTTCGCCAGAGAGCGCCGCCGGTCGTCGGACGAAGGAGGCGTTACTACCGGCGGCGACGCCCTCGGCACCGGCGAACCCGCGGCCGCAACTACGGCCTCGAACACCTTTAAGAAGAGACTCAGGAAGGCGGTGCTAGTGGCGGAAGAGTATGGCCCGGTGCCGACGGCGGCAGCCAAGAGGACAAGGAAGGGCGGCGGGGACTCAGCCCCCGATGCTCGTCAACGCCGACGTAGCGGTACCGGCGGCGGCGCGCCGACCAAGGCACGCGGAGCCGCCGCTGCTTCGGAAGTCAGCGGCAGCGGCGGAGCACGAAGAAGGTTGCCGGTCTGAAGAGACTTGGGTAGTGGCAGCACTCGGGAGGAACGGGCATTGCGGCGGCGTCGAGGAGAGGCGGCCGCGCGGGGATGACGGGAGGTTGTTGACGCGGAATGGGAGTATCATGTAGACTTACGCCGTAGTCGTTAGACCATTCCCATGAAAACGCATGCATTGACGTCGCATCCCTTCATTGCCGGGCGGAACGACATGCCGGGTTGTCGTCGGCCCAGGCTACGTCTCACTAGGATGAACCAGAAGTTGGTCATTATCCTTTGCGTTTCGCTGTGCCAAACCAGACGTACCATGGGAAGGGGGAGGGGGGGAGTGTTGGTAGTACACTCTCTCCTTGGCAAGCTGGGGGAGTCTAATACCGCGCAGCAGTGCCATGAGCCGTGAAAGCAGCTTGATCATATCCTCGGTGTTCTGTGTTTCGCATGAAGGGGTTGGCGAAGGTGTCGACCACCTGCCACTAACTATGCATAACGATATTTTATTTTGGTGTCTGGTCTCTTAATAGACGGCCGGAGCTCCCCCCTGCCTGCCCGAGCGTGCGCGACGGTAACGATAACGGAATGGCGGTCTCATTTTGCTTTTGTGGTCCCATGTGTTCTGGGCACCGGGAAACACCTTGTGATTGAGATGTGGTCTTCGTTGCAAGAGGAGCTCTCCACCTTTCCTTTCTGGCGGTTCTTGCCTTCAAGTTTAAATGCGAGAAGGCTTCATCCAGCGGTTCCTCCTTTCCGTCATTGTCGTGTGTGCGCTTCTCGCGACTGTGCATAGACTACGCGTTGTGCACTTACTTCCCCTTTGTTTTGCTGTTCGCTACGGATAGATGAGAACCCCCACGCACACCCTGAAAAAGACGAAAAGAATATTTTGCCTTACCAACTGAAGCCACAGCCACGGTTCCCTGTGTGACCGTACCGTGCTTCAGTACGACGCACACGCGGTGAACAGCCAAAAGGATAGAATGCCGAAGCTGGTGCGCTTTTCCCGCGTGTCTCGATCAACTCTTATCTGCGGGAGAGATGGAATAATGTGTCTCGATCAACTCATTTCCGCGCAAGCAAAGCATGCCTTGGCGGGCTTTTCATGTTGGCATTGATCGAGCGAAAACACAGCAGTTGGCACAAATATCCCCGTGGATTTACCCCCGAAGTACCCGCCTGTCGCCGCGCCGTCTCTGAGTTGAGGACCGGGGCGGGGTGTTTGGTTGCGCTGCTAAGAAGCTACTTCTTTCTACGCAATTGTTGGCACGCAGACGGTGCGCTACGTGTGAGCTATTTGCAGCAAACACGGTCGTCGCAAGGCGGAGGAGCTCTAGAGGTGGCACGAGGTGTCCAAAACAAATGGGACAATCATCGATTCGCAGCAGAAGGATTATTGGTTCGTCTTGATTTTTTTTTCCCCCCAAAATACGAGCACTTGACACGTGTGTGCAATGGCGATCGCGACGGCGTCTCGCAACACCCTCACGGAGTATATACTGCCGCACGGCGCCGTCGTCTCTACGAAACGCAATTTACGCCGTGTCACGTCACATGATCAATTTAGCAAGAAATCCGTCGCTGGTACATGCGTACAGCCACAATTCAAGCAGCAGTCGCAGCCGCAGCCGCAGCCGCAGCCGCAGCAGGGTACCAATCCATCTAAAATCAATAAAAGACTCGTGACCTCACCCGACCGAACGTTTCTCTCCCGATGAGGGCAAAAAAGAAAAGAAACGCAAGCCTACCGAAAAAAAAAAAAGCAAAGCGATGAGAGAAAAAATACATATACCTCGCGCGACCCCCTACAGCAGTATCAGGCTACGAATTTTGGTGGCGGTGCTCTCGTGCTCTTCATCTGCAAGCTCTGCTTCGTCTCGACGTACTCCACCAGCGGTAGCAGGACCGACAACAAATGGTCCAGCCACTCTTCTCTGTCCCCTTTCAACCATGCCTCTTCTTCTCCTGCAACTCCCCGTAGCGCTACCCCGCCCACATCCCCGCGGAAGCTCATGCGCTGCAGTTGGGAGTACTCCAACGGTCCTTGCCGGAACAAGATCTGGTTCGATTTTTTCGTGCAATCCATGTGTCCCCGGTGGTCCCGGGGGGATGGGTGGGTGGAGGGGGTCAGGAGGGGGGTAAGGTAGTCTTCGAGCGGCGCACACGCAAGCGTTTAGTAGATCGGCATTGGATGTTGGTGCAATGGCATAAGGTACGGCATTGGATGTTGGTACAATGCCGAAGGCAGAGGGGTGGTCAAGCGGCGCGGTGCAATGATCGATTGTCGAGGGATACCTATCTAACGGCAGCACGAAGACAAGGCTTTCCATGTGCGTTCGCCTCTTCCTAACCGAATTTTGTTGGGCAAAAACTACAACCTTGTCCCTCTTTCCCAGGGAAAGGGGGGCGGGCAGACTCAAGTTTCGCATGCCTTGCGTGGGCAGG